TCGCGGGTCGTGACCTGGCCGCGGCCCCAGCAGATGGAGCGAGCGCAGCCCACGCACATTCCGGCTTCGTGCAACGGGCCGCCACTGCCACTGTGGCGCGCACACCCAGCCGGAGGAACAAGGGCCCAGCCCCCGCTAGGAGTTCTCCAGTCAAAGAAGCGGAATTCCTTGCGGGCGGGCCATACGTTCAGGCCGCCCAAACGCTGCTTGGGTCTGGAGCAGCAGAGGATGTGATCTACATCCGGGCGTACAGCTTAGATTGCCCATCCTGCATCGAGGCAATCGAAGCGTCGCTTAGCAAGGGCGCAGGCGTTCGGATTGTCGCCGACATGGGACAATGCCACCGCACCAAACTTCAGTGGCAAGCGTTGAAACGCTTGGCGGCTGCAGGCGCCGAGGTGAAGGTGGGTTGCGGCTCATCCGTGCGCGACGCCTATGCTCGCGACGGCCGCGGGGCTAAAGTAGGTACCGGTATCCAAGGGCTTCACCATGCCAAGGCCCTTTGCCGACTGCGGCCTGATGGCGCGGTGGTGCTGATTGGGAGCCTCAATTTTACCACAAGCAGCAAAGCCAATGCGGAGGCAGGGCTTAGGCTTGAGGTCCCCAAGACGCACCCGGTCGCGCAGTCCTACATTGAGGATTTCCAGAGGGTGTCGGCTGAGGCATTCTCCCTCGATGAGGCGGTCGCAAGGCGCCCTCAGTTGGAGCGAGCCAGTAGCTCCAACGTTTCTGGCAACGCCACTCGTGCCCCCAACACTGCTCCACAGGGTATCGAGTAGGCTGCGGCCAGTCGGCGCGGCGTGGTAAGCATCCACGCATTATCAGAGCAGGCGTTGCAGCACGGCACGTTGCTTCGCCAACCTTTTGCACTTTCTTTTGCTTGACTGCGGGCGAAAAGCCGCGGCAGGTTGGAAACCTGCCCATTTTGCATTCCCCGCACCTTTCTCCTCCGCCCTGCCTGTGGCCCCTCGTGCTGAGGGTGCTCTTTTGCAGGTGCTGCGGACCGTGTCCTGGTCGCGGCAATGCGCTCGCCGAAGCGCGTGTGAGTTGCATTGCCTGCGGCACAAGCCATGTGCGCGGCTCTCGCTGAGTCTGGTAGCCCGTAGGGTAGTTCCGGATAGGTGAGTAGCCGTAGCCGTAGCTTAGGACCGGTAGTGTACAGTGTACCATTTGTACCATAGTCTGCGTACTGGCAGCTAGAGACCAGCTCGAGGATTCAAGAGCCTCGCCCACCAGCAAAAGGGTGAGGACCTCCTGGGAAAGGGTGGTTAAGGGTTGCTGAGGGTTGCCGTCGTCGTGCGTTCGTTGTGGTGGTGCGGGCTAGCGTCCCTGCCGCATGCCAATGCTCATGATGTGCGGACCACCGCGGTCGCACGCGACACCCTCTCCCTTTCCTTTCTGTGTTAGCGCGAGTGCCTGCTGCACTCCGAGCTCGAGATGAGCTGGAAGCCTCGGCTGAGGGGCGAATGTGAGCAGGTCTAAGCACGCACGCTGCATGTGCAGAGCTGCCAGAACCAGTACTGTAGTTTTCTTTGCATGTGTAGTTTTGCAATTCGTAACAATGCCAATATTTTGGCTCAAGTACTGAGCTTGTGCCTTTGAGCACGGTAGAGTCGTACAGTAGCTCTTAGGTTGCTGTGCGGTCCGACCGGACGCACTCAGGCGTAGCTGCACAAGTGCTTGAACTCGCGAAGTCGTAAAACAGCGTGACCGGGCTGTGATTGCATTGGCTTAGTGCAAGTCCAGTGCTGGTCGACTTCACATACTACTACTACTACTACTACTACTACTACTACTACTACTACTACTACTAGTACTACTACTACTACTACTACTACTACTACTACTACTAGTACTACTGCTGCTTAACTACTACTTAACTACTACTTAACTACTACTTAACTTCTGCTTAACTACAACTTAACTACTACTTAACTACTACTTTACTGCTACTTAACTACTACTTAACTACTACTTAACTACTACTTAACTACTACTTAACTACTACTTAACTACCACTACTACCACTACTACTACTACTACTACTACTACTACTACTACTACTACTACTACTACTACTACTACTACTACTACTACTACATACTACTACTACTACTACTACTACTACTACTACTACTACTACTACTACTACTACTACTACTACTACTACTACTACTACTACTACTACTACTTACTACTACTACTTACTACTACTACTACTTACTACTACTACTTCCTACTACTACTTACTACTACTACTTACTACTACTACTTACTACTACTACTTACTACTACTACTTACTACTACTACTTACTACTACTACTTACTACTACTACTTACTACTACTACTTACTACTACTACTTACTACTACTACTACTTACTACTGCTACTAGTTACTACTACTACTACTACGACGACGACTACTACTACTACTACTACTACTACTACTACTACTACTACTACTACTACTACTACTACTACTACTACTACTACTACTACTACTACTACTACTAGTACTAGGGGCGTGCTCGGTATGTAAGCTGCGCGATGCTCGAGTTGCAAGCTCGTTCTGAGTTTCCTGGAGGGCGGAGACCCATCAAAAGCGTCTCGCCAGCAGCTCAGCAGCATCTGCGTCCTCAACTGACTCAGCAGCAGCCTCTTCCACACTGGCACCGCGACAAAGAGGAAGTGGACGATCAAAGCACGCTGCCCATGCCAGAAGACTCACGTCTGTGCCCGCAAGCGAATACTCATGCGAAGCATGACTGTGAGAGGAATGCTAGTAAGCTAGTACTACAGTGTGGCACCGTGCAACCAAAACAGCGAACCCACAGTTCCTGGAGACACCAAAATGTTTGGGCACGGTCCTGGTCCGTAGCCAACATATCACAGTCCAGTGGCAAATAACACAACCATTGCCCCATCATGGCCCACCCCTCCACGCATTCAGTCAGGTTGCCTTCCAACGACGCACAAAACAACCGCTGCTTCCTCTCTATGGCTTCCCCAGCCATGGCACGTTGGAAAGAAGAAGCCCCAGCGCCGCAGAACTCTTACACACAGAACAGAGCCTTTGGAGCTTCAGGTATTCCCAGAGATGGCAAAGCCAAAAAATGTTGTAGGCGAAGTGCCCTAGACCCAAACAGCGCAGTGTGAGAGTGGTGAGAATGATGCATAAAGCATGAGAGGCTTTTCAAACGCTGTTCGAAGGCTTGCAAGGTCGCAGAAGTTGACAGCCTTGCAGGCGCTCCACTGCTGGAGCTTCGCTTTCTTGCTTTCCTGGGACCAAGTTCTATCAAGTTGTATCACTTACTAACGCTTATAACTTATATCCTTGACGCTGGCCCACGCGTCGCGTCACTCAAGTCCTGCCGGTCCCAGCGTCCCGGCCAGGGGCACCCTAGCACAAACCTCACACGGCATGCAGAGCGTGTGCAAGAGTCTGTCTGTGTGTGTGTGTGCGTGTGCAAAGACGACGTGCCAAGGTGCTTGCTTTTGTCCCAGAGAGTAAATAAGTCTTGTTCTCGTGATCAGGGCCATAGCGGTGGTGGCGCGGGCACGTGCAAAAACACTATTGCTTGGCTTGAGCCGGCATGAAAAAGCAGAGAGAACGGAGAGTTTGAACAACGGCACGGGGCGCAGAAGCTGCAGGAGCTGCTTTCATGCGTTGGCGACGGACGTGCGCTGTCATGGTCCTCGATTTTGCCAAGATTCACCGAGCCCTCCAATTTCCTGGAAAGCCAGAAATTTTAAACTCATTCATGTTACGCTTAAGCTTGAACCCTTATACACTGAGACCTGATTATGCGATGCAAACCTATAACTGGGCTTGTGGGGCGGCTGGGTATCGGCGCGCGGTATGACTGAGATTGTTTCACCATTTTGGAACAAGGACGAGACAATCTAATTGAAAGACTCTGATGCACCGCTCTGACCGATGCGTTTAGGGTTTAGGGTTTAGGGTTTAGGGTGTCATCTCGCTGGCAACTATGCGCCAGCGCGCTTTTAAGCTGACAGCAGACTTGCTCTGAAGCAAGCTGCGTACCGCCAGAGACCCAAAAACTGGGTACCCCAGACATCCTTAGGCAGAAAAGCTGAGTATTCCCAAAACCCTTAACCCCAAGTTTACTATCCGAAACAACCTACACCACAAAAGTTTGATATTCGGCCCTAAACCGAAATAGTCTACGAGCTCAGGCATCCTAAATCCATGAACGTCCATGGCTGAGAAATCCTACACCGAAACATGTACATGTGCAACGCAGAAACCAGAATTGCAAGTCGAAATCGCAGAAAGACTTCTTGCGCAAAATCACGCAGCGCAACGAATGCTAGGCACAAATCGCTTCAAGAACTACAGAGAGCCTTGATTGAACTTTTTAAGAGTGGCGGCCGTGCGGCCAGGTAGCATAGAATGGTCATCGTGCGGGATGGATGCTCTGGCCACTCGCACACACTGAAAACATGGACGTAATGCACGCACACTCGCACGAAGCGCCAAGCATCTAGCATTTGCTGCACCTTTGTAAGGTTTCGAGCATCAAAGCATGCCAGAAAGACAAAAGTGAAGAAAACAGCAAGCTCAAAAACAGTGTTGTTACCATGAAAACGAGGCCTCCGAAAATGACTTAAACAAGTGGAAAACCTCGAACGCCAATGCTGGTATTTTCAGCATCGTAACTTTAAAGAGAAACTCGTAAACAACTTTTTGTCTTGTCTTTACGCACTTTTTGAAAAGTGCTCCTAAAAACCTACGTACAAACTGCTTTTGGCACAAACAAAATTAAGAAGTTGCGTTTTCCTGTCGCACCGGAGGGAAGACGACGGCGACGGCGACGACGACGAGGACGAGGACGACGACGGCAGCGGCGGCGGCAGTGGCGACGGCGGCGACGACTACTACGACGACTACTACGATAAAGACAAAGTCCAAGAAGCCAAAAGACCAAAACCTATCCTGCGTACCCCGCTCTTCCTTTCCCTTGTCGTCAGAGGAACCGGAGGCGAGATTGAAGCCCGAGGCTTTGTGCGGTACACCTCGGGAGTGTTTAGGACCAGAAGGCTCCCTGGATCGGTCAAGGTGTTTAGGCTTAGGGGTTAGGGTTTAGGGCTTCGCGTTCTGCGCTTGAGGGGTTTTAGGGTCTAGGGTTTCGGGTTGCCGAATTTACGGCCTGGGTGGGTGTTGGTGGACCGACGAACGGAGCTGAGTGGGTGGATGGAGTTGCTTGGCTCCTAGGAAAAATGAAACAAAGTATAGACAACGAAATTACAAACAACAACGATAAATACGGATAGAGAAGCAAAACCCTAAACCCTAAACCCTAAACCCTAAACCCTAAACCCTCAAGAAGGGACAGGAGTTGCCATGGGGGATCCTGGGAAGCAGATGGCAGCGACTCTCAGAGAGTACATTGACATGCCAGGGTATGAACCCTAAACCCTAAACCCTAAACCCTAAACCCTAAACCCTAAATCCTAAATCCTAAATCCTATGCTGTGAGCAGGTGCTTTAGGTGGCCAATTAACATCCTGACCCTCTGATAAGGACCGATTTTAAATAGAAATGGGTCTTGGGGAATAATAAAAGGGATCTTATGGGAGCATGGTAATGATCATTTATATGCCCCAGGCAGGTTGCCTGGACCTAAACCCTAAACCCTAAACCCTAAACCCTTAGCCATGATTCATAGCGTGATTAGCGCCCATGGTGTACGGCCGGCTGAGGGTTCCCTTTTGCTAGTTGCATGGTCTTCAACCAGTTTGGTCCTTGAAAAGCCCCCCGCAAACATCTTCCTACACGTGATCCTCTGTGATCCTCTTATCCCCGATAAGGGAAAAACACCACATCTAGTAGGATGGCCCTTAAATGCCTCTGAAAAATGTTCCTGAACATGATCCTCTTAAACCCAATAAGGGAAAACAACAAACATCGAAGTTTCAAGGCCGAGTGGCGAATGTGCAGCGTCCAGCAGAAGCTTTCCTCCACGGCCCTCCTCTCCGCCTGGTGCCGCAGAAGACTGACGTCCACTTTCTTTTGCTAAGATCAAAATTTTGAAAAAACATGCTGGGTATTAGAACAAATACCTATTATCGATGTTGGGTGTACAGTTGTCCTTAGGTTCTTCGTGCCTTTGTGTAGTTGCTACTTCTGCCACCTGATAAATATTCGCACAGAAATGCTCGATACGCAGTCATACATACTGATAACTATTCGCACATCGCTTGGTAGTGCTTTCAAGAATGCGACTTGGGTTTGGGACTTGGGTTGCAGGGTTTGAGTTTGTTGGTAAACAACAAAAAAACTCAATGTAGTATGCTTGGTTTTGTAATTATAATATGATATATTGTTATGGATGGGCTATTATGGGATATGAGGGTGCGGGAGGGCAGAATCAGAACAAACCCCCCCCCGCCCAAACCCAAACCGCAGGTTCAGAGGCCTTATCATGTTGTTGCAAACCACAATCTACTATTTGCTCAAGAACCTCCCAGAAAAATAAAAACAACAATCCCTATATTCACCTTTATAAGAGAGGTTGTTAATTCTATTCTTGGGCAATTCGTAGAAACTTTAGAGCGTGTAGAGAGCATCCGGCGTCTCTGCCCCCTTGCAGCGCGCACCTCGTCCTCGAAGGCGTGCCAGTGCTCGGTAGGTGCGGTCTCCCAGAAGAGGTTGTATGAAGGGTCGTCCTGCAACTAGTTTAGGGTTTAGGGTTTAGGGTTTAGGGTCACTTTGGGACGGCAGGGGTTTTCGGGGCTTGTGGGGTGCGGTCTTCACTCCGCTGCTGTGATTGATCGTAGGACTGCCGGATGCGCAGCTGACTTCGCACGGGAACTGCGCAAGACCTTGTTTCTCTTGCAACCAAAGACTGATTCAAGCATGTCCCGAACTGAAGCCTTCAACCGCAACAAGCCTCATTCACCCCAACCCCCGCACCCTGTCCAAAAAAACGTCTCCCTCTTCCCCCTCCCCTCTCCCCCCGTCCCTTCTCCCCCCAAAAAGATCTTAAAATCCTTAAGCCCTATCCCTCAAAGCCTCCCCAAACCCTCAATCTCCCTAAGCCCTAAACCCCAAACCCTAAACCCCAAACCCTAAACCCTAACCCCTACAATCTCCCTCCGCCTTGAAGCGGTAGAGGCTGGCGAGGAGAAGGCGCAGCAGCTTACCCAAGTCCACGAGCTCCTCCTCCAGGCAGTCCTGGCAATTTAGGGAGGTTTAGGGTTTAGGGTTTAGGGTTCGGGTTCAAGGAAGTTGTCTGGGATTATAGGGTTTAGGGTTTGGGGCCCATTTGGGGCTCAGGAGTTTCGGGCTTAGGTCTTGGACTTCTACGGGCTTGGGGGGGCTTAGGGTTGTAGGGTTGGATGGGGTGCGGCGTTCGAGTGCTTCAGGGTTTAGGGGGTAGGAGATTTGTGCAGCCTAAGAGCACAAAACCGTAAGCCTTGAAGCCCAAATCCGACTGTCATTGCCCACTAAGGAAGATGCCGTGCTCATGATACGAACATCTATATGATCAATTCTCAACATCATGGTCCCTTTTTAGGGCCGCCAATAGTGGAAACCCCAAAAGAGACCCGAATTCAAAGAACCCCCGTATAGTTTCAGGCTCATTCTTCCAATCGACGGTGCTGGTCTCTAAGCATGGAATATTCAGGCTGCCCCTGTCAATTCTCAAGCATAAGAATTCCGACATATAGCACGCCTCTTGAACCCAATGCAGGAAGAAATAGTAGGAATTTCACCGACATCTCCATCCGTTAAGTGCACCTTGATCAGGGCCTTGAGGGCATGTGAAAGGGCACAGGGAGTAGGGAAAACCCCTAAACCCTGAATAAGTCCTGAAGTCTCAACTTTAAACACATCCAGGTTGGCCCTCAAAACCCTCTGAAAGAAACTCCTAGACATGATCCTTTCAATGGGCTTTAGGGTTTAGGGTTTAGGAATAAGGGCAAGTCTCAAACATCCTGAGGTCCTGATTCTTAGATATGATCTTCTTCATGGGCTTTAGGGTGTAGGGTTTTATGGCTTAGGGTTTAGGGCACCCCGAGGCAGCTGTTGCCTCGAATCGGGGCGAATGGCGCCTTGGGGCGATCACCACTCGCCTCAGCTGCGAGACCCTGCGAGACTCACTCTTAAACAAAAGGAGCGAGGGTACCAAGGGGGCAGCCCGGGCTTCGGGCTGCTTATCAACTAAGCAATATGCAGGGTTTAGGGTTTAGGGTTATTAGTAGGGGTTGGGGGGCATATAAATGAGTCTCAGCGCTGATCTCTACCCATGTAACCAAGCGAGAGGCCCGCGTGGAACTTGAGCGAAGGGCACGCTGGCCACGAAGTGGGCCGTCTGGTGCACCAGTCGGGCCACTGCCAGCGCATTTCCTAGGCTTAGACGGGACTGTTGGCTGAATCTTGGCGTCCAGAACGCACCCGCAAGACAGACACCCATACCTAATCTCATGGAACTGTGCTTCACAGTAATTGCGGTACTACACTTGCAGTCGCTACCGCCAAGTCCTGGTAAAAACCAACGAGTTGACAACCTCATGGGCGAAGTTTAGGGTTTAGGGTTTGGGGTTTAGGGTATAATTGGCGCAGAGCTTCCGTTTCCACCGGTCACCTCGTCGACGTAGAGCCTGACCAGCAAGACAACAAGCAACCCCAAGCCCATGCGACACAGCATGGAACCCTAAACCCCTAAACCCCTAAACCCCTAAACCCCTAAACCCCTAAACCCCTAAACCCCTAAACCCCTAAACCCCTAAACCCCTAAACCCCTAAACCCCTAAACCCCTAAACCCCTAAACTTTAAGCCCCTAAACCCCTAAACCCCTAAACCCGCCCCTAAACCCCTAAACCCCTAAACCCGGATGCTCCCCCTTATACTAGCAGTCCTGAAATAGGGATTGCAATACACCGGATATAAACTCTATAAAGGACTGTTAGTATGAGGCTGAACATCCCTCCCCTAAACCCTCAGGCTCTTTTTCGACTCTATTGGGTACACAAATCAAAAAAGGACCGCCGCTACCGACAAACGCTCGTTGCAAGGACGCGCCCTCCGCGCAATGAAGAAGTCGGAACGTTCCGTGTTCTCCGTCCGTCTGACTCGTGTAAAGCCCGAGCGGACTTGAGCCGCTACACCTCTCCCCCCGTAGGCCCGAGATGAAGGTCCAGAAAAGCAAAGCACCCCCAAATCCCTAAACCCTAAACCCTAAACCCTTCTCTAAGCCAGGACGCGCATCTTTGCAGCATAGATGGCCCAACCCTAAACCCCAAATTTTAACTACTCAGCTTGGCCATGATAAGGGGGATAAGACGGTTAAGACTACTTCATACGTCGGCAACTCCGTGTCAAAACCTGCTCCGCAGCTAGCTCTAGCACTGTAGGGAGTTTTCGTAAAGAAAAAAACGTAAGCTTTGGCCACGCCTCGGACGCCTGAGAGCTCCCAAAACCTCTTTCTCCAAATGTCAAAAACTTGACACCCCCAATGCCAAACCGAAACACCCACATGACCTGGACCCTAACACACCTAAAAGCGCTAAAGCCTTGAAAAACCATGTCAAAAACGACCAACAAGGCTGAAGGGGCCAAAGCCCTCAAGCCTTCAAGCCCTCAAAACCAAGCATACTGAAAAGAGCTGGGCCGAGAACTCGCAAACCTTCTAAACCCAAGACCAACCTAGCAACAAAAAATGTGCTTCTTTTGGTTTCCAGGGGCTCATAAGGCAACCCAAACCTTTAAAAAAGGGACTAATGGCCTACTCTCGGTCCTAGTAGCCCTAAACCCTAAACCCACCCCCCGAAGAAAACAAGGCCCTGCTCTGGGTCCTTGCCCTTCAACTCCGAATCTGGCCCCATGAGCCTCTTCACAGCGGGGCATCCATGCTGCGCGAAGAAGTCCTTGTGATCCTTCAATAGGTTTAGGGTTTAGGGTTTGGGGTTTGGGGTTTGAGGTTTGGGGTTTAGGGTTCAGGGTTGATCCAAGCCCTAAACCCTAAACCCTAAATTGCCAGACGGTCCTTCAAACCTCTTGCAAAGGAGAACCTCCCAAAGAGCTTAAGATCTGCAGCAAACAATCTTTGGGGGCACCTCTGGATCAATATGAGGCACCTACCCTCCCGGCTTCCCGGGAAAAGGCGCCGAGACGCCCATTCTCCTCATAACCCCTAAGCCCGAAACCTTAAAACCGTAAACCCTCGATCTGAAGCACCCGAAGACCCAAACCCTAAACCCCAAACCCTAAGCCCTGAACACCAGACACCAAAGACAGACAAACAACCTGCACGGATTCCCTCGCCCCAAGCCCAGAAAAATGGTATAGAAGCTCAGGGCCCTACTGAGGGTAGGCCCAGAGTTCGGGTCTAGGCTGGGGTTTGCGTAGGCCTACCCCTAGGCCCTACACTGGGGCAGGGGCAGGCCTAGGGCAGGGGTCTAGGCTAGGGTAGCCCTGCCCAGGGCAGCAGGCCTAGGACTAGGCCTGCGAGAGGTAGGCCTACTACCCCTAGACATCAACGTATGTAGCCAGGCAAGGCAACGAGGGAAGAGTCGAGCGACAAGGACGAGCTTAACCAAAACGCTTCACCATTTGGCATAAGAATGTAGGCGTGACCGGGCCGACAGGTGCTGCTAACTCACACCTCGCAGAATGTTTGAGAGCTTACAAACGTTTGCCAGGAGTCCTGCCTCTTCGGGCTTCAAGGTTTCGGGTTCGGGGAGTGGAGTTTAGGGAGCAGGCGCTCGCCTTACGAGGGCCTCGCCGAGAAAGCAGCTGGGGTGGCGAGAGTTCTCGGTGACAGGAAGCTGTTCTATGATGGCAGGCGGCCCTACCAAAAAAACATGTGCGCGTTCTAGGTTGCCAAACACTATACAGAGGTATCTGTTGCAACCACATCCTGCGCCGGCATTGCAGCCGGCGTGGCAGGCGAAGCAAGGCTCTCCTGCGCTGCAGAGTCTCGGCCCTATAGCAATCCACCCCGAGCTCTGGTGCACGTGCGGTCACGAGGCGGGGCGCACAGAACGCGAACAAAGCCCGGAGTAGCCTGCCGCGGGTCGAGCGGATTTTGTTTGAGCCGTAGCAATGCAACTTAAAAGCGGGCAAGGGGCGGGACGCGCAGGAAGTTCACGGAGCTCGGAGCAGCCTGCGGCGGGTCGTGCGAAAACTGTACGAGCTATCATTTCTCGACTCATAGATGTCGAAGGGAAGAGGAGACAAATCAGGCGCCTGGAGAGATGCCGTGCCACCCCCAGCATCCAAGAGGTGAGCCTTCGAAGGCGGTGTGGCAGTAGCCTGCAAACCGCAAACTGTACGAGCTGTCATTTCTCGATTCATAGATGTCGAAGGGAAGAGAAGACAAATCAGGAGCCTGGAGAGACGGCCAGCATCCGACAAGAGGTGCAGGCGTTCGAAGGCGGTGTGGCAGTAGCCTGCGGCAGGCGGGACGCGAAAAGGTTTGATACGTCAGCAACCTGCACCCGCCACTCTATCCCGAAGCTTTCAGTCCCTACAAAAACCCCGGCCACAGCCCCGGGCTTCTCAGGCGAGCGCTGACACCGGCTTGGAGGCCGACTTGCATCGTTTACAATTACACCCGGAAAGTCCCGATTTCCAACCCTTTCCCGATGTTCGACCCTACGCACTGTGCCCGAGACCCGCAGCCCTCGGCTCCAACCTCAAACCTCCACCCACGTGCAACTACTCCACAATGACATGAGGCGGGCGACTGCAGGGCCAGCAGCCGATCCCTGCGCCAAAACATAATGCGGAAAGGAGCTGGTTCTAGCTCTTGACGGCCTCCAGAAGGCTTCGAAAGGTCTGCAGGAGGGCCTGTAGGTCCTGGCCAAAGCACAAGGGACAGGAAGGGCTGGAATACGGGGAGCAGACCGAACACAGTGTGCTGACGAGTGGGAGAAGCACTGCAACGGCGTCCGCCGCCGCGAGCGGTGCGTTGGCCACGGCCTCCACAGGAGTCACACAGACCACAAGTCAAAGTTTCCCGCCGCGCGAGGCACGCCAAGACTGCAGCCCATGGGACTGTCACTCACCTGCTGCAAATGTTGATGTGGATTTTTTGAGGCTCGTGGAGGCTGGAGCTTCCACCGAGTGCCCTGCTCCTCGAGTCATGCCACGTGCGCCGCTCCTCGCCTGACAGCAGAGAACGGCGTGCAGAGGACATGCGTCCAGGCTGAGAGCGGTTGGAGCAGACTGAGACTGAGTTCGCGACTCTCGGCGTCATGCGACTTGCGCCAGTCGTTGCCACTGCCTGGTCGCCAAACGCAGGCTTGCCAAATCGTCAAACATGCACTCGCAAAGTGTGCTTGGGCGAACCGGCGGTGGACATGCGTGCACAGGTCGCAGCAGACTCAGTCCCCCACCGTAGGAGTGCCGCGCGTACCATTCGTCATCCTCACCTCGTCGCCAGCTGCTGGGCAGTGCTGGGGCGAGGAGGCATGGACTTGCAAGTTTTCTTCGCACAGTCATCCGGCCTGTTTCAGCAGCAGCTGCAGCTGGCGCCGGCGGTCGCCCGCGCGGAGCCCCTGGCTTGCAGGCGCGGGCACAGGTGGCACCAATCATCATAGGAGTCACAGGCGCGCGGCCAATCACGTCTTCGTAGTTCTGCAGTCAGCATCCACCCACCAACGGGGCTGCGCACGGCGCCGGAGCCGCTGGCAGCCACGCCAGACGGCAAAAGAACTTGGCCGGCGCGAGCCCGCCTCCCGCCGGCGCAGGTAGGGCTCCTGCGTGCGATGCTGCGGCAGAGGGCAGGTCACGCAAGCGCGGCGCTGCAGTTGGGAGGCCACGTAGGAAAGTGTCGAGAGGCACCTGGAGTTTCGCGAGTAGAATGTCCTGAACGTAGGGCAGAGCTGCCCACAGGCTTGGGGTATCCCTAAGCCTACCGGACACCTGCCCCTACCCTAGCCAAGGGCCTAGCCTAGGCCTACAGTACCTACCTCCAGGTCGGGGGTAGCCTGGACACCGAGCTTCTGTATGAGACAAAAACAAAAACAACTAGTTCATATAGGGGCCATGACAATTAAACTTTTTCATTTGTTTTGTTTTACCCCAATATCCTTTTTTTTGTATTATGATATACTTTTATAGCATCACCTTCTGCTAATGACATAAGTTTATATATAAAATAATATATATTTATATATAACATGTCTTTAACTTCATTATATATAAACGTATCCACATCCTCAATCTTTGATGATTTTAATTTTCGTTTTAATGCACTCTTTGATATTCCATTTCTATCACAATAATGTTTCTTTTTAATAAAAAAATCATTACACATCATTACTAATGTATTTAATGCCTGAATATACGATAATTCTCTTTGATTACGTTCAATTATCCCAGGGTTTTGGGGGCTATTGTCGTATAAACATATAGGGACCATAAGGGAAGAATATTAGTAATTATTCCGACACCTATACTAGGGCTTTCAGGGTTTTTTCAGGTTTCTCAAGTAAGATCCTCTCAATCCAAATCCACACATCCCAAGCACCCTCCCTGGCACACACCCCAAACCCCACTGGATCCCTAAACCCTAAACCCTAAACCCTAAACCCTAAACCCTAAACCCTAAACCCTAAACCCTAAACACTAAACCCTAAACCCTAAACCCTAAACCCTAAACCCTTACCCCCGAGGCCCTCCTCAAGGCGCCGCTCTAAACTCCGACTCACAATCGGCAGCGAGCAAATCCTGGGTTCTCCAGGAACTGAAAACAGGTTTAGGGGTTGAGGGTTTAGGGTTTAGGGCTAGGGTTTAGGGTTTAGGGTCTAGGGTTGAGGGTTTGGGTTTTGGGGTTAGAGCTCCCAAAAAGCATGTGTTACCGTTAAGTCTCTAAAGCCCCAAACCCGCGCCGTTTGCCCCCCGCCCCTCCATTCATAACTTGTATCGTTTGGTCGCCTCAACCATAAAAACAAGCACCACTCAGTAGTCACGTCAACGTCACAGGGCCCAGGTTCTGGGGGTTGAGATCACTATCACTGACAGGCAAGGAATCAAAATGCTGCGAAGCTCTTCGGTAAATCCAGGGCACTGCATGTGCGGATGGATGAGCGAACCGCTCGCTTCTGCACCGTACTGCTTGAAGTACCTCTGGGCGGGGTTCTAACAAGGAGACCTCCCCCCCAAAACCCAAAGGTTCTTGGAACCCCTGAAAGACTACACCTTTCACGGCCCCTTGGCAATAAAAAAAAACAGTGAAACCCTAAACCCTAAGCCCTAAACCCTAAACTTTTCAACACATACTTCAAGAACGGTCTTTCAAAGCGGACCCAGGCACATCAGCTGCACCACCTGGCTGCACTTTCGAAGCGATCGGCCTCGGGTTGAGGGTGTAGGGCTTAGGGCTTAGGGTTTAGGGCTAGGTTTTAGGGTTTAGGGTTTAGGGCTAGGGTTTAGGGTTTAGGGCTTAGGGTTTAGGGCTTGGGGCTTAGGGTTTAGGGCTTAGGGCCCAGTCGATTGTTGGGCTCAGCCTGTTGGATGGGTGCCAACATGAATGCCTCGTCGAAGCCCACCTCCTACAGAGCCTGTCGTGCCCCCCCCCCCCCCCCCCCCCCCTAGGGTTTAGGGTTTAGGGTTTAGGGTTTAGGGGCCCTCAGGCGCCCCAAATGCTTAATATCCTCCAGAAGTGTGCGGGTGATGTGAGGTTTTTTGAAGGATCTTCGGGGCTTGCGACTTCAATTCTTGGACCGGCTCTTCTCGAGGCGAAAACATCGTCCGTCCTTCCTTAAACCCCTAAACCCCTAAACCCCTAAACCCCTAAACCCCTAAACCCCTAAACCCCTAAACCCCTAAACCCCTAAACCCCTAAACCCCTAAACCCTAAACCCTAAACCCCAAACCCTGGGTTTCCGTGGGTCGTGGCAGCGTTCATCCTGCGAAGCGAAGCTTAGGATTTCAAGACGGCAGGGGCGACGGGCCTAAAGTTCACATAGCCTGCAGGCCCCTGAATGAAACCCTAAACCCTAAACCCTAAACCCTAAACCCTAAACCCTAAACCCTAAACCCCAAACCCTACACCCTAAAGCCCAACACCCTAAACCCGAAACCTTAAAACCCCCGAAACAAAGCCGCGGTGATGGACCTCTGAGCCCCGGACCCCTCGCTGCCATGGCCCGCAAGGTATGGATGACCTGTTTTGAAGCCCGAAAAAAGGCCCCAATTTCCGGAAACACTTGGGGGTCTAGGAAAAGAGGTGACCCCAAAATGTAGAGCCCCAAATAGTAGGATTCAATAAGGGACCCCCCCCCCCCCCCCCCCCCCCCACTTGCAAACCCTAAGCCTAAACAGGGCCGAAACCCTAAAACCAGGCTCAAGGCGGGGTTCAGAGCTTCGGACACTCTCACAGCTTCGCCCCCAGCTTCGGACACTCTCACAGCTTCGCCCCCAAGACCTGCGCATCCTCGGCAATGCCAATCATCGCGTTGTGCGTGGGAGACTCCACAACGACCTCGGAGGCCCCGTAGCCGTCGACCATCCTGTCAATGAAGCTAGACAGGTTGGGATCAGGGCAATTGAGGAGTCTTAGGGTATGGGGTTGGGCTTCTATAAAGGGATTAAGGGTGGCGGGACTGATGGTTCATGCCTTGAGGCTGAGCGATTCATGATCACCTGGTCTGTGTGAGCCTCATCTGCATGTTTCAAGGCTAGCCTCGCAGCATCTGGTGAAGTGTGCAAGCCCTGATCCCTCTTGTCCCTAAACCCTAAACCCTAAACCCTAAACCCTAAACCCTAAACCCTAAACACCCCGAATAGTCCCCTAGTCCGCTAGCCTGCAAAGAGGGTGATCTGCATCTGGATTTGCAGCATGGTTGTCATGATCGCCGAAGCACGCGGCATGCTTGCTCCGATCGCCCGGGAAGGGCGTCTGGTAGAGATCCTGGTCTAAGGCAACCCTAAACCCCAAACCCTAAACCCTAACCCCTAAATCCTAAACCCTAAACCCTAAGCCTGCCCTAAACTTGCATAAGCCCCAAGCGTTTGTCAGAGGGCTCCACTCTTCACTAGAGCAGGTAGCTGGCTTTCAAACCCCGCTCCTGTGGCGTCAGCAAGTAGGGGAACGGGTTTCGCAGCACTCGCACCAGCCACTTTGTCTTGTCCGCCTTGCAAGTACACAAAGCAAATACACAAAGATCTCAATTTTCACTCACTAAACCGCTGCACCCCAAACCCCAACAACCCTAAGCAGTTGAGCTGCCCTGGTCGTACATAACTTCGGGCTAAAAATCTAGAATGTTCTTTCGGTACTTCGAGCTAGCTGTTTGGGTACTCATTGCTGCGTACCTTATTGGCGTCCCGATTATAAAGGAATCCTACTATTTAGGCTCTGTAGATTGGGGGGTCCCTTATGGCCGCAAACCTCCACATCTTTATCTGTGAAGCTTGCGAAGGGGGCTGTTGCGATGGTCGTCAGGGCTTAGCATGCTGATCCCTTTGTCGCCAGGCTGGCCCAAACCCTACACCGTAAACTCGGCCTAAACCCTAAACCCCAAAAACTCCTCATCTGCGTGGCTGCGAATTTGAAACTCGGTCGAGCGTCCTCTGCTGGAGGTAGACCCTCTCGCTCCTCCAGCCGGCCGTCGGGCCAAACCCGCAAGACCTGCGCGGGATGCAGGGTGTGGAGCTAAATTAGCTGCTAATTGGGCTTGGCGCTCATGGGTACTGCTGCTGTGAAGTAGCGGTTTGGGCTCTGTCCACATCAAGGCAGCTCGGCACTTACAGAAGATAGGGCCTGGGTTTAGGGTTTAGGGTGCAGAGCTTAGGGATTCCCAATATTGGGGTTACAGGGGTTGAGGTCAACCCGCTTCGCCGCTTCACCCCTGAACCATAAGAGTCTAGCAGCCCAAAACCGAACTGTTTAGCGCCCTGTAGGCCTAAACCCTAAACCCTAACCCAAAACTCTAGGTCTGCCTCTGTCTTCTCCTCTCGGCCCTTGCAAAGTGGACACTTCTCCTCAGGGGACATGGACCAAGGGCTTTAGTACCGCCCTACTGTCGGAAGTCCGTGTAGGGGTTTCGGGTTCGGGAGTGCGGATTAAGGAGCCGAGGTCTTTCAAGGTTCAGGATTGCAGTATCGGGGAGAAACTGGACAAAGAAATTCCAAGGACTTGGTGCAGGGCATGGCGTTTCGGGCTTTGGCCGTACAAAGGCTTGATAGCCAGTTCAGAAAAGCAAATGACGGCCCCAGACGAGCCACGGCTACTTGTCCTTACTGTGTCATTTTTTGACTCCAAGCTCTGAGTGCCTGGATCTAAGGGTAGCTACCTGGTCCCTTAGTATGGGCCTTTAAGAGGGTGCACCTTATATACCCCTTATACACCCTACACTCCCTACACATTTTTAAGGGCCCATACAGCAGAACCCTTCAAAGGAGGCTAGGGACCATATTAAGCGCCCATGAAACTACCCTGAAGACAGAAGTGTCTTGTACTACTGTTTGCTTCAGAAACCCCCCCCCCCCCAAAAAAAAAAACATAAGAATCCCTAGATTACCCTTATAAGAAAACATAGTATTATTATGTTTTTTTTTTTTCGGGCGGGGGGGGGGGGGGTTCTGAAGCGTAGGCTTCAAGCTTCAGGTCAAGAGAATGGCGACACGAACACGCCCGATGGGGGCGGGGTGGTCTCTGAGGAACCTTCCTCCCCATGGAACTGTCATGTCATTGCTTGCCCTGAACCCTAAACCCTAAACCCTAAACCCTAAACCCTAAACCCTAAACCCTAAACCCTGAACCCTGAACCCTGAACCCTGAACCCTGAACCCTGAACCCTGAACCCCAACTCCCAAAACATTCGTAACTTCCAAAACACTGAGCCCATACCCAGAGAACCCCTTGGTGAAAAACACGTTCTCCTCACCGCATTGGGATCTGTCTCATAGTTTTTGGGACATACCTTCATGTTAGGGATATGGGGGCTTACGAGAATAGGGGGCCCCTAAAATAGACCCCCAGATAGTAGGATTCCCTTATAAAAAGCACCTCATGGAGACCCTAAACCACCATATGGGGCTCTTTAGGTACATGCCAAAAGGTTGCCAAGACTCGTCGTGCTTTGGCTGTTCGTGGGCTCGTGGCTCGGCCCGTTCTTTGCTCCGGTACTGCCGTGGCTTCGATGGCCCTGCCTACGGCTTCTGGGGGCGCTTTTGGCTGGGCAGTAACCACCTTCTACTAAGGGTACCCTTTTATGCATTGGCTAATTCATAAGGGAACCTTGAACCAACAAAAGGGGAAAAACGATAGCAGTGGGGCTCCCCAGTTCGGGCTTAGAGAGTTAGAGAGGCTTGAGGTCCATGGAAGTTGCGTCCTGCCCCCTCTGAAAACAACATCGCGATGACCGTGTTTGTCTAACATGGGGTCACGTCCTCATGCATTCAACAGCGCTGTTCAAGTATGCGGGCCACAGCCCTTTAGGGGTTCTTTCAATCCTCAAAAGTCTTAAGCCTACGAACCCACGAAGCCTGGATAACATTGCGCGAGATAAAATCGCTCTTGAAGGTTTCCGGATAGGGGGTTTTGAGCCGTTCGAGCGAGCCTGAAAAACAGAACCTGAACCCTAAACTCTGCACTGCAGGAGCCCGTCTTCATCCCTCAAAGGTTCCCAGGCCTTCAAATCCACGAAGAAGCAGGTCCAGTGCCTGGGCGCGTTTCAGGAATAAGCCCTCCCTCGTTCTGTCCACTGCACCTCCTATTATTATCGAAACCACAACGGTGCTGGTGTTTTTTTATATTCACCTTGGGATTTACATCAGCCAAATAATTTAAGCACCACATACTTCTTAAGGCCCCCAACTCCAACAAGCCAGGACTCAGACTGACATTGGGGCTTCCAAAGAAGAGGGGTACCTACTGTTGGGGGGTTGCTGTAACAATGTTGGCATTTTGCTGGGGTACGTCCGTAAGACCCCTTACTACTCTTTGCTTAAGAACCCCAAACGGATAAAACAGAATAATCCCTTTACTGCCCTTAAAAAGGAAGAACATTTTGTTACTATAAGGGGATCCTACAGGGAATCCTACTAAGTGTCTAGGAGATTCCAACTACCAGGTGCACGTACTGTTGGGGGTTGCAGTTGTCAGGATGCCTCTGTGTTCGGAGATGCTCCCATCTTCAAGTCGACCTAAACCCTAACCCCTAAACCCTAAACCCTAAACCCTAAACCCTAAACCCTAAACCCTAAACCCTAAACCCTAAACCCTAGACCTGCCGACATGCGACCTGGTGAGTGCATCTTGTCGAAGCAGCCGCAAGCGCGACCCTTCCTGATACTCGCCCTGCCTCGGCGGGGACACGATTATAATATCCTACTACCCAAAAGGGTTTAGGGTTCATATCACCTTACTACCCAAACGGGAAACTGCCTGGACATGAGAGAACGAACTGCAATTCCACAGAAGCTACCCACGCTGCACGCAAAACCTTAGCACTTTGCTCTCTGTCACAAGAGCTACTTACTAGCCTACGAAGGGTTTGGCGCTGCCGGTGCAAAGGTGTGGAACATGGTTGGGACGTGCAACCAAAGCAAAAGTTGTGAAAGAACACGACAGAACAAGACCAACCAAAAGGCCCCCAAACCCTCAAACGTCGAAACGTCTGAATCCTAAGCCCTATAAACATCCCAAACACCCCCCCCACCCTCCCTAGACTTCCGGAAATTTCGGAGAAAAAAAGGGGGTTCAGCAGTTTCGTGCCCCTCGCGGCCTAATCGACGACGGGCTGCCCACTCAACCTCTTCCAGAAACGAATCTCACCTTCGTAGGAAATGCGCCGCTCCTGGCGACTTGTATCAAGTGGGTTTCTTTAGGCTTCTTGGGGAGCCTTTTATGTCTTAGGGGGGCCCAGGGTTTGGGTTGAGGGTTTAGGGTTCTGGATGTAGGGTGCAGGGTGCAGGGTGCAGGGTGTAGGGTTGGGGTTTAGAGCTTGGGGGCCCGGTACTGATTTAGGCTTCTTGGGGCGGTAGAGGCCTTAAGGGCTCAGGGGGGCTCAGGCATTTATAGGGCCCGGGTTCTGGGCACCTCCAATCTTAGGCAACTCAGGATCCCTCTTGAGGATCTCTACCGGGTCTAAGGGGGTTAACGGTTTTTAGGGTTTAGGGCTTAAGGCTTAGGGTTCAGATTATATCCGCCCAACAGAGCCCAATTTCCCCCCCAACATGTTCGGTCCTGCGTCGGCGTCTTGGGGCTTCCCTCGATGGATACCTGCCGCGCGATGGAAGGCGTCGGTGATGGCGGCACCATCTGCGTCTGGGAAGCCGACTTGCCTCTGCAGCAAGCAGCACCAGCACTTCGACCCTCCTGAGACCCTAACTTTTCAACCCTGAAACCCTGAGCCCAAATGTGCCATCAAAGTCTGAAACCGTAAGCCCCTGGAAGTCCCACAAATCCTCAACCCCGAAAGCCCTGACAACCAAGAAAAATCATTCCAAGCGACCCCAAAAGCCTAAAAGGTTGAGAGTGCATGGGTCCTCAAACTCCCCGGAGCCCCTAAATCCCCAAACCAACTTATGGGTCTGTCCCTGATATCCCTAGCATCGCAACCTCCTCCCTCCCTCCCTCCCTCTATAGGGTCCTGAAGGGAGGGTGCAAGGGGGGTATGCAACCCAACAAGGTTCCTTCATACTCCCCACTACTCCCTGAGGCTCCCTGAGCTTCCCTAAGGAAGGTACCCACCCCCCGATTTTTTTCTCCCTCCCTTAAAGACCCTACATTCCCTCCCTCCCTCCCTCCCTCCCTCCTCCTAGACCCTAGACCCTAGACCCTAACCCTAAACCCTAAACCCTAACCTATACTCCCTCCCTCCCTCCCAAAAAACCTCGCCTGAGCTGCAGGGAACTGGGGTTTCCATCGTCCGGTCAAGGGCCCCTCGCAGCAGGCGCAGCAGCTCGGTGCCCTGATTCACTGCGTTCTTCGGTAGGGTTTAGGGTTTAGGGTTTAGGGTTTAGGGTTTAGGGTTTAGGGTTTAGGGTTGAGGGTTTAGGGTTTAGGGTTTAGGGTTTAAGGGGTTCAGAGGGTTTGAAGGGTTTTGAGGGGATTCAGGACTTTGCGGCATGTAGTTGCCTTTTGTTGATTCTCGTTTGCTTGGTTACCAGACCCCTGGGAGGATCCAAAAAGGTAGAACCCCCAAACCCTAAACCCTAAACCCTAAACCCTAAACCCTAAACCCTAAACCCTAAACCCTAAACCCTAAACCCTAAACCCTAAACCCTAAACCCTATTCTTAGGAACCCTTAAGGGGATCCACTTCTTGACTTCTTGGACCCAGCGGTGTGGGTCTCGGGCTTGCAGGGCAGTTCGGGGAAGTCCAGACAGTACCATGGGCCTATACCCAGCCCAAGTGGCACTTGAATAATGAGAACCCGAGCCAGGTGAAGGCCACCTAAGCCCCAAACACTAAAGCCTAAACCCCCAACCCTCAACCCTAAGCCCTAAAACTCAACCCTCAGCCCCGAAACCCTCAAAGCCGAACCCTGAACCCTACACCGCGTGAGGACACCTAGTCATGCGACTCTGGGGTCCTCAACAACTAGGATGGCCCTCCGAAGCATTTTGCTGTACACCCAGCAAGGGAAAATACAAAATGTCCCAGAGGCCTACCTAGACAATTGGAACAGGGCTTTGGGGTCTAGGGCTGAGGTTCTAAAATTTTGTAGAAAAGCAGAATTAAGGTGTAGGGTTTGGGGGTTATTATAGTATCTTGTATAGGGACCAAAAGAGAATACCATTCGTAATGATTCCGACCTATCTAAACCCCTGAACCCCTGTGCACCTAAACCCTTAAAGCCATAACCCTTAAACCCTAAACCCTAAGCGCCTGAGACAGTTGCGCGCTTCACCCTAAACCCTAAACCCCTAAAAAAACCCTACCCTAACCCTAAACCCTACACCCCCTATCCCACTCCGCCTGGGGTGGAGGGCCGGGCTCCCGGAGCACCGCCACGGCCATGGCGTTGAAGACGCTCAACGCCCCCAGCAGGCGGAGGCCCTCCGCCTGCGTGGATGGGGTTTAGGGTTTAGGGTTTAGGGTTTAGGGTTTAGGGTTTCGGGTTTAGGGTTGAAGAGGAGCCCTCTGAGGGCCCCAAAAGGCCATATAAACCCTGTAATTATGAACGCTATCCAAGTCTCTAAGCGCCATATTTCCGCCTTCGAACGCAGAACCCGCAAAAGCCCTGCCAAACCTAAACCCTAAACCCTAAACCCTAAACCCTAAACCCCAAACTGGAAGCCCTCGAATTTGTTGGCTTGTCTGGGAACCTCCGGGCCGGGAGCTGATCATCTTGCTGAGGTCTGGCCCGCAGTGCGAGGATATTTAGGGTTTAGGGTTTAGGGTTAGGGTTTAGGGCAGCTCGGATGCCTGTGACAAGTGCCGGGACAGCTGCAGAGGCGCTGACACAGTTTCGCTCATTCCGGGTGCTGCGCTTGCGCGCTACCGCCCGGCGCTCGCGAGATGCGGCATGGCTAGTCAGCGCCGAAGGAGACAGGGTCTCCTACATTCACCATCTTTAAGCCATCCCACCAGTATTCTGCTTAACGCCCTGCAACGCCTGGCCTGGAGATCACATGGTCTATATCAGGCTTCGATGACTACGTATGAAGGCATCTAGCACAAGCTACATCTCTCCCGACACAGACACCGATAGCCACTACAGCCACTACAATGCTAACATCCAGCCCCCAGCACCCTAAACCCAACGGTGCCTTGAGAGCAAATTGGCGTGCACGCGAAAGACCCCGAAACACTGGTCCGATATCCCGGAGAAGATCTCTGGCAGTCGTCGTCTTCATTCGGCGGCTTACGGGGTAGTCCCAGGCTGCGTTGAAGCTTTCTCACAACGACGTGGCAAGCGCTCAACAGAGGGGCTTCGAGGCACGGGCCAGCTCAGCATCTTCAGCTTCTGCATCACCTGAAGAAGTTCGAAGGTGAATCTGCAATAGTGCGACTTGCATGCCATGAAGGAACCCAAGGCAAGGAAGCCGCCTCCAGCAATGAAGTGCTCCGCGTCACGGTTCTGGTTTGTAGGCCACGAGCTGACTTACGTCTTGGTCTCGTCCTTCTTCCTTGCGAGGCAGTCAAGGGTTGTCGTACAATGAAGACGCACCTTGTTGATGTCCATGCAACGGTTGATTCCAACTAGGATTTTTTCGACATGAGACAGGGTCCATTCGGCAGGTTCTCCAGAATGCTAAGGGCAGATTGATGTTCCTTGTTCTGGATTCCTAGGGTTTAGGGTTTAGGGCTGCGGTATGGGATCCTAAGCCCAAGCAAAGGAACAAAGGGTACTATTTCCTGTTCGCTTGAGAGGGCCCCGGACGAACGAGGAGCGCATGCGGGAAGGAAGCATAAGGGTGGCAGAATCCGCGGCAATGTCGCTACGTGGCCACCTCCATATTTACGCAACAGTGAGCACATTGACGACTCCATGCGTCTGCGTCTGCGTCTGCGTCTGCGCGTTTCAACAGCCTGTGCCTAGAGGCCCGACGTATCCGGACACAGGGGAGGACCCTTAAACCCTAAACCCTAAGCCCTAAACCCTAAACACTAAACCCTAAACCCTAAACCCTCCTTCCCTGCAAGCCTGAAAGCCCCGGGCTTAAGGCTAAGAGAGCCTTTGTAAACAAGAACGAGCGCGAGAGCTCGCTTCGTGCTTCGGTTTAGGGTTTAGGGTTTAGGATTTAGGGTTTAGGGTTTAGGGTAAAGGCCCCTTCCCAGACCCCCTGAAAGGATCCAAAACGTAGTACCCCCAAATAGTACCCTACACAACTAGTGAAAGTCGTTCTTAGGGACCCTTCAAGGGATCTACTTTTTGGATCTTCCCAGGGTCTGGGTTGGTCGTCGAATCCCTCCACTCATTTCAGGTTTTATAGGGTTTAACATGGTTTAACAGTTTAACAGCCTTGCTGACAGTTCGAGCGTGAATCTGCCGCATTGAGCTGCGAAACCCCAGTGCGCAAAACCCTCGATGCCACTACGCAACAGCAACAGAAACTGCTGGCCCACATCGGCCTTTTCACGCAAAATCCATACAGCCAGACAGGGCGTTGATTCTAGGCTTCCCTCCAGGAGCATCTGCCCAGCTCACAGTTCAAAAACCTTGCTGCTAGTCATCATCGTCTTCCTTGTTCTTGGTCCCTAAACCCTAAACCCTAAACCCTAAACCCTAAACCCTAAACCCTAAACCCATACATGCCACATGTCAGGCACGTGTCTACAGCGGTGGTTGCGGGTTGGCGAACTCCCATGCACGAAATGCGGCGACGAACTCATCTCGCTCCCCCACTTCCGGAAACCAGAGTTCGGAGATGTCAAGGAAGCCGTACTTCGCCTTAGTTGCTGAGTTCATAAGCCCCCCCCCAAAAAGTGTACACTTTCAGTTCTATAGGGGATCATCGTATCCCAAAAAGTGTACAAGTGTACTCACTCAGCTAGTAAGTCGCATCGCCGCGCTCGACTACACAGTGCCGCCGCAAAGTCAACTTGGGGAGCGGCTCGGTGTCCAAATTCTTGGAGAAGACCTGGAGCTTGCTAGCCCAGTAGCCATATTACAGTCCGCGCACCCTTTTTTTGGAGAGGGGGGGGGGGGTTGGTGACTTTATGAGGGAACCTGGACCCCCCCCCCCCCACAAAAAAAACACAAACAAACAAAGGGTACAAGGGTACCACTGGGCTACCACGAGACCTGCATGCCGTCAGCTAACATGATCCAGCCCTCAGCACCTTCGTAGTCAATGCGGCCGAAAGAAAAATGCTCGTAGCGCCCTGGGGATGTGCCTGGGCCTTTCACTTCCTTGGTAGCCCAGCAGCCCTACTACAATAAGGGCAACCCTGTTTTAGGGTTGGATACTCTACAAAGGAGACCTAGAACCCAAAACAAGGGTAAAAAGGGTACCACTGGGCTACCACTAGCCCTAAACCCTAAACCCTAGACTCTAAACCCTGAACCCTAAACCCTAAACCCTGAACCCTTATGGATTAATAACCAAGCTTCCAACACCTCCACAGTGGAACCCAGCTCCAAGGTGCCCCGCTCCTCTTGGCAGTTGCAAGCAGTAAAAACCTGACCTCGGCTGGGATCATGGCTCCCTAACCCCTAAACCCTAAACCCAAACAACCTAACACCCTAGCACCCTAGCACCCTAACACCTTAACACCCTAAGCCCCATTGGGGTATAGGAGTGCTTCATGGCTCCCAATCTGAGGGCTTTGGCTTTAGCATCTTTCCTCGAAGCCCTCTTCGGGCCCAATATTGAGTCTTCAAGGTACCGCCAGGACGAAATCGATTCAGCCGGTCGATGATCTCGTAGCGTCCGGGGGCATCTTTCGGTGGCGCCGACATCTCTTTGTCAACCGTCAGCTTCAGAGCTCCCGCGTCTTTGTTTCCCCAAGTCTCGAGCTGTCTGTGGTGGGGGTCCTTCAGCCTCCCATAACGCACCAAGTCAAAGTCTCCGATGAAGACGCGAAGCTCGTCATTCATGGAAGGGCCAAGGTCATGCTGCTCCATGGTCACCGTCACCCAGTCGCTCAGCCACTTGGAAACCGATATGACTTGGTACTCATTGCCTTAGTTGCTGAGCTCATAAGCCCCCCCCCCCCCCCCAAAAAAAAAAAAAGTGTACACTTTCAGCTCTATAGCAGGCTATCGTATCCCAGAAAGTGTCAAAAGTGTAACTCACTCAGCTACGAAGTTGCGGTGGTCTATTTGGCACTTCACGCGCCCTGTAAACGTCACCTGCAGAGCTGGCGCGAGCACCATCTGCAAAGGCTCTCCAGTGGAGCAGTACTCCACTCGGCCCTCCATCTGCCTTACTTGAAGGTTCATGGTACTTACTAACCAATTATAACTGTACTTATAACCCTACTTATAAGTGGGATAAACCCCTATAAGGCCCTTTAGGGGTATTATAAGTAGGGTTATAAGTACAGTTAAGGTATAATTGGTTAGTAAGTACCATGAACCTCCAGGTACAGTTGAATGAGGTACCCGATGTAATCCCACAGGGTACGAGTATATATAGGGACCCTATAGAATCCCTTACAGGGTACGTAGGGGGATATAGGGTACCTCATTCCCACATTCTCTACTAACCAACAGTAAGAATCCTAAACCCTAAACCCTAAACCCTAAACCCTAAACCCTAAACCCTAAGCCCTAAACCCTAAACCCTAAACCCTAAACTCCAAACCCTGTGCAAAATAAGCTGCTTGACCTCATAGGTCACTTGATCCTCGTCTTCCAGGGCGGCGGGCAAGCTGCTGGTGCGAAAGAACCTCGGATGGCCCACTCAAAACCCTCTGAAACATATTCCTGAATAGGGTTTAGGGTTTAGGGTTTAGGGTTTGGGGTTTAGGGTTTAGGGTTTGGGGTTTGGGGTTTAGGGTTTGGGGTTTAGGGTCCTCTTAAACTCCAACAAAGGAACATCGAGAATGTCCTGAAGGGCCTTCCTAGGAACTGAACTCGCGCTGGCTTCACCTCCTTGGACGCGGCTACCTTGGCGCGCAGCTCTTTGATGGAGATCCTGCTGGGAAAGACCTGGGCATGTTCTGATAAAAGGGGTTTAGGGTTTAGGGTTTAGGTTCCAAAATAGAGGTACGCCTTTTATACCCGAAATAGTATAGAATTCCCTTCATTAGGGACCTCCCAAAAAAGGTAACCCTTACTTTCGCAATCCCCGTCATTCCCTATAATAGGACGTCCAAAATGTGTACTTTATTTTGGGAAACCAACATGGGGGTTTCTGAAAATAAGGGTACCCCTATTTTGCGCAATGCCCACATGGAGCCGAAACCCAGATCCCTCAACTAAACCCCAAATAGCAAACCGCAAACCCCAAACCCTAAACCCCAAACCCCAAACCCTAAACCCTAAACCCCAAACCCTAAACCCCAAACCCTAAACCGCTCAACCCCAAGCTACCTCCACAAAGTCGCAGCTCTCGCCAGAGACGCTGATTAAACGGGTGCGCTGAGCCTTCGACACACGGCCGAGCGCCGAGTCCTCCGCCATTCCGATATCGCTGCGGGCTGTCCCTTTTTGCACCACGTTTTGGGGGCTATTTGGGGTTTAGGGTTTAGGGTTTAGGGTTTGGCGTAAGGGTTGAGGAACGAAGGCTGAAGCCTAAACCCTAAACCCAGCAACACCAAACCGAATCATTACTAAGTCGAAGCCTCCGATGTCTAGGGCCGAGACCAATACAGTAGGAACTCCCTACATACATCTCCCAACAGCCATATGGACCCTTAAGAGGCTTATGGAATCTGGATAGTAGGTACTGAAGCTTAAGTCTTGAGCAAAGAACAGCTGCGGCAGTCTGGTATCCTGCGCAGCCAAGCTGCCCAATTCGCTTTACGATGAACGTGTTGCCTCGTTGTTGAATGGGCTTCACCTTCATGCGCTGTCATTCGCGCTCCCCACCCACGTCCCCCCTCCCCCCCTCCCCCCGCATGGCATCCCGGACCCCCCCCCCTTTGGTTCATAGTGGGTTTTGGGCTGAGGGTTTTTTCCCATGCTCTGGCTCATGGTCCGTGGTTCATGATGCGTTTAAGTTAAAGGGCTTTCGGGGTGTAGGTTTAGGGTTTCCCCTCTTCCCCTGTGTGGCTTGACGCATGTAAAAATGGGAATGGAGGCACCAGTGAGCATCCACGTCATTGTGGCAAAGCCCCAAACCCTAAGGTTAACCACAAACCCCAAACCCTAAACCCAAAACCAAACTAAAACCCAAACCCTAAACCCTAAACCGCAAACCCTAAACCCTAAGCCCGGCCTCTTCCTGCCTTTCGACTTTTTGGCGTCCTTTGTGGCGCCGCCCTCCTGGCTGCATCTTCGGATTCTCTAAGTTCTGCGTCACCAGGGAATAGTACAAAAAGATGCCCTTTTGGTTCAATGGGGTTTGCAAGGGAACACAACCTCCAAAAACGCAGGTGCTTGTGGGGATCCCATCCTGGGGATTAGATGGGTGCCAAGCTAAGCTGTCATGAAACTTCGGGTTTCAGGTTCAGGGTTGAGGGTTTAGTATGGAGGGATCTGGGCCAAGCTACGCACATGGGCCTACATGCCCTCGCGCTGAGAGTTCATCCTCGCCCGCACAGGCCCGCCGAAAATGACATACGTGCGAAGTAGCAGCATACAGCTATCCTTGGATCACCGGATCGTGCGCGGAAGTCGATGCAAAGTAGGAGCCGCCACTAGCTCTTTGAGGTACCCGAAGCCGCAAGAAATTATGCCACTAATGATCACTAGTGACGCAAAGTTGAATTCAACCCATGCTGGTCGTCCCAGTCCTCGAAGGCTTCCTTTGCCATCGATGCCAGTATTTTGGGCCTCAACGGCGTGAATGATGTTTTTTAAGATCAGCCACCCACGCGCGGGGGGTGGGGGGTGGGGGGATGCTGGATCTCCTCTACTCAGGTGTCCCCTCCTCTGAGTTATCCATCATGGGGGGGTAAACCCACGTAAGCCCCTACAACCTGTAAACCTTCTCGAACCTTTGGGGGGGGGGGGGTTTGGGCCCTTCATCCCTGAACCCTACGAAGCCCACACGCAGCGGCCCAAAACACTGGAGAGCCCGGCTCTACATAGGCCGGGTCGTGCAATGGCCGCTGATCTGCCGAAGAGCAGCTGCGCAGGTTTGGTTTAGGGTTTAGGGTTTTCGGGTTTCGGGTTTAGGGCTTAGGGCTTGGGGTTTAGGCTTGAGGGTTTAGGGTTTAGGGTTTAGGGCAGGCTTTCAGGCGCACGTCTCGAGCCTGGGAAAGATTGAAGCTGTGCCGGCTGGAGTTCGTAGAGGACCACCTTCACAAGAGCCAATCCGCAGAGACTTCGGTCTGCTGAGGCAGCCTACATAACGGTTTAGGGTTTAGGGTTTAGGGTTTAGGGTTTCGGGTTTTGGGGTTTCGGGTTTGGGGTTTAGGGTTTAGGCTTGAGGGTTTGGGAAACCCCGAGAGAAGCCCCCAAGTCCCAACCCCTGTGCATGTTGACTTGGCTTAGGGTTTAGGGTTTAGGGTTTAGGGTTTAGGGTTTAGGGTTTAGGGTTTAGGGTTTAGGGTTTAGGGTTTAGGGTTTAGGGTTTAGGGTTTAGGGTTTAGGGTTTAGGGTTTAGGGTTTAGGGTTTCGGGTTTAGGGTTTAGGGTTGGATTTTCAAAACCTGGCATTGTCAGCCCCAGCGTCGCTGACGTGGCACTGTCTTGAATGTCCTACGCCAGGACCATTCAGGACACAAAGGTTGTTCGAACTCTAAACACCTAGCCCACACTTGCAAAACCTCTTATAAAACCTTGGGAACTGAATACCCTAGCACGAAAAGGTTAACCCTTTTTGTAGTAGGACTACATATAGCCAAAAAGGTTAAAGGCCAACTAACCAGCCCCTAAGAATCAGAAACGGAACTTGATTTGGAGCAGCCCCCCACATACCCTACACCCTCGGGGTCCCAGCGCTTCCGTCGGCGTCCAGCAGCGCGTAGAAGAGCCCCTGCTTAGGGTTTAGAGTTTACGGTTTAGGGTTTAAACGGGAAACGTTTGGGCGTTCTAGATGGATTGATCGAACTTGTGGGCCATTTCGCGGGTCTGTCTGTTGCATCAAGCTTCAGTTTTGCTTGAAAGGGTTTAGGGTTTAGGGTTTAGGGTTTATAATGGGGCGACTGGCTTGGGCTCCGGGCTTGGCCATGTCTTTGGGCTTGTGACTTGGGGCTTGGGGTGTCTGAAAGTATGCAAGCGTGCGTGGGTGGGTGTGGGTGTGGGTGTGGGTGTGGGTGTGGGTGTGGGTGTGGGTGTGGGTGTGGGTGTGGGTGTGGGTGTGTGTGTGTGTGTGTGTGTGTGTGTGTGTGTGTGTGTGCCCCAGACCGCACTAAGCCCCCCAAAGCCGGAACCTTAGGTGAAGATGCCCAGCAAGTGAGTGGGGGGGATGGTTTGAGATTAAGCCGTTTTCTTGTTTGTTTTTGTGGGGGGGGGGGGGGGTTGTGTGGGGGGGGGGGGGGGGGGGGGGTCACTTTGAACTTCCTGCAACCCTCACCAGAAGCCTTAATTCCTACTTGCAAAGACTAAACGGACACAGCGCGGCCTTCACACGCAGCTCCCTGCGCAAGTCCTTGCCATCTCGCCCGTTGCTGTTTCGGGCGGGAACGCGGGAACCCATTGAGTACAAGCGTCCTTACCCTCTAGCATGTAAATCACCAACCCCAACATACACCTGGGGCGGATCCACATTGTGATCCCTTTGCGGCTACCCTGCATCTCTTCGAAAGTGCCCGTATTTTAACAGGTACCCGAAAGGCACCCCAATTCAGTTCGGGAGCCTAGCATTTGTTAAGGGCTCCAGGCGTTGGAGGTGTAAGGTTCCTAGTTCATGGGTTCAGAGAGCTCTCGGGTTTTCGGGCCCAGTGTACCCTGCCCCTAAACTCTAAACCCCTACTTGAAGGTTCATGGTACTTACTAACCAATTATAACTGTACTTATAACCCTACTTATAAGTGGGATAACCCCTATAAGGCCCTTTAGGGGGATTATAAGTAGGGTTACAGGTACAGTTCTGATTGGTTAGTGGGTACCATGGACCTCCAAGTAAACCCTAAACCCCTAAACCAACTGTCCTCATGTCTCGCCATGGTGATAGACTCATCCGGACGCAGGGGCAGAACCACCTGCGCACATCCCGGCTAATCGGGCTCTAGAGGGTTTTTGGGCTTAGGCTCTACAGGGTTCTTAAGGAGAAGGGGGGGTTCATGGGGGGTAGGTACCTAGCGAACCTTAGGGAGACTTCGGGGGTGGGGGTTTATGGTGCCTGCAGAATCGTTCTTTCATGCTCGGGCATGCTTGGCTTGCGGAGGTGCTGGGGCCTGAACTGAACAGCAGCCACAAAACAGTTGTAGAATCGCGCCTCCTCACTGCAGTCGGCGAAATCCTCGGAGAAGTGAACGGCGCGAATCCTTGGTGCTTGGAGGTGGAGGTGCCTGTAACGCAGCAATCTGAGGGTTCGGCAACTAGCCTTTCCTACAAACGATCTCCCTTCACAGACCTGCTGCAGATGCGCACCGGCCCCCGAGAACCCGAAATCCCCAACCCTAAGCCCTGAACCCCTAAAGAGCCCAAAAGCCCTCGACTCAAACCCTCACAGCCAGGCAGGATGGCAAACAGAAAGATCTGAAATTTACATACAAGATACACATTAAATAAATACATAAATAACTAAATATATATGTATATGTATTTATACATATGTATATATATATATATATATGTGTGTGTGTGTGTGTGTCTCTGTGTGTGTGTGTGTGTATTTCATGCTTACATTTGAAAACGTGTCATAGACATTTGCCTTAGCTTCTATTGTCCTATGTAGCCCAAACATGGCCCTGTACCACCCCTATCTCTCCCAGTAACGATATCAAAATAAGGGTCAAAGGGTACCACTGGGCTACCAACATAGAGGTCAACGTCCCTTTCTTCCGAGGACGTCACACCCAAGTGAGATCCGTGGATGACAGAGGGAAGGCAGCGATGGACCCCCAGCGGTCCTGAACAAAGCTAAGGCAGAAGGAGGGAGCCGTTTTAGGGTTTAGGTCTCCTTCTCCACGCCCCGCACACGCCCTCGAAGTGTGTGTGAAAACCTCGGCATCATCTACAAGGTTCTCAACCCTGAAGCCGAAGCATAAGTTCAGGCCCAGGGCTCCATGAGGGTTCTTAGAACAAGTGCCTTGTAGCAGGGGAACCCGGGAAACCCCTCATTGCTGAACATGCACCCGAAATCTGAGCCCTGTACCCTCCTCCTGTGCCAGGCGACGCGCCGTGAAGAAGAGCTTCAAGGCCTACTTTGAATATGGAGTCCTAGGTTGCCCAGTAACCTAGGATGAAAAAGGGTGCCCTTTTTTGCTTAAAGGGGTTGAAAAGGGAACCCAATCTACCAAAAAGGGAATAAGGGTACTACTGGGCAATCCTAGAGTCTTACATGTAGGGTAGTCAGCAAAGGGCACTAGAATCCCCCCGGCTTGTGGTTGAACACTTTCGGGCAGGGTCCAGCGGCCCCCCTCAACCCCGAAAACCCTACGACATGCGCCATCAGCTCATCAGCTCTTAAAGAGGAGCAGGGTTTAGAGGGTTGGTAGGGTTTCTAGGGTTCGGGGCCCTAAACCCTGAACCCTGAATCACAGCAAGAGTAAATCTGTTTGGGGTGTCCTCAGAGTATCCGAACAGCTCGGCCGCTAAAGTTCAACTTGGTGCTCCACACCCTGAGCCCCAAAACTCCAAGTCCTAAGCCTTGGGATGCTCCCCTCTTACACTGGGTTTAGGGTTTAGGGTTTAGGGTTTAGGGTTAGGGTTTAGGGGGATTCTAGTTTAAGGACTGCTAGTATAAGGGGGGAACACGGAACATCTCAACCCTAAACAAAATATGTCCCAAGCTCCAGAAACCCCAAGCCATGGAGACACCCGTTCAGGGTTCGGGGGCACGACTTCCGCCCTAAACCCTAAACCCTAAACCCAAAAGGGCTGCCCTAAACCCTAAACCTAAACCCTAAACCCCAGACCCTAGACCCTAAACCCTAAACCGTGGCCTCATCCGGAGGTGGATCCTCTGTGTGGTCCACTTGGGCGACCTCCGCGGTCGGAGCCCTCAATCTGGGGCACCTCGTCAGCCCTTCAACTAAAAGAAACCCTAAACCCTAAACCCTAAACCCTAAACCCTAAACCCTAAACCCCACCCCCTTACTTAACCCCTAAACCCTATACCCCAAAACCCTGAAATTCTGGAGAAACATGGCATCTCAAGCGTCCCACCTAGCCGCCCTGGCCTATCAAGCCCCCTACGCCCCGCAACCTGGACTACTTATTTGCTTCAAGAATCCCACCCCCCCCCCCCCCCCACCCGCCCAAAAAAAAAAGAAAAAAGAAAAAAAAACAAACAAAAGTCCAAACACTCTTCCTTATAAGGGCAATTTATGGGATCATGGCCTTGCCTTGCATATGTTGTTATTATGGGGGGGGATTGGTTCTTAAGCAAGCCGTCGTCCTAAACCCTAAACCCTAAACCCTAAACCCTAAACCCTAAACCCTAAACCCTAAACCCTAAACCCTAAACCCTAAACCCTAAACCCAGGGAACCTTCTTCAGCGACTCCATGACTTGCTCGTGAGGAGACGCTCGCGCGGCGTTTGTGCTCTCCGGCTCTTCGGAGCGGCCTTCGGGGAGCTTCGGGCCCAGATTTTTGGGGTTTAGGGTTTAGGGTTTAGGGTTGAGGGTTGAGGGTTGAGGGGTTTAGGGTTTAGGAAGGCCCTGAGATCCAGGTATGACAAGCGGCTGCTCAGGGTTGAGGGCAGCCTTCATTCCCGAAACCCTAAACCCGAGAATCAGACTCTTGACCACACCAAAGCCTTGAATCCCGAGTCCTGAACCTTAGACCACCCCCCCCCCCCCCCCCCAAAGAAACCCCAGAACCCTAAACCCTAAACCCTAACCCTCAACCCTGCAAGCTCAGAAGGACCGACCGGAAAGTACCGATCTCGTCCCCCCCCTTTATCTTCACACTTTGGAGGTTCAGGGCACTTATAACCCTCATTATAACTGTACTTATAAGACCCTCAAGTCCCTCAACATTGGGGTAATCAGTAACCATGAACCTGCAAGTAGGAGTGTCCTAGAAACTGCCCCACAGTACCCCTTCCAATTTCATGGGCCCCCCAAAATGGGTGTTTCCCAAACTAGGGGTGACCCTACAACTACCCCAAAGTATTTTCGGAAACTCCCATATTGCGCACCTTGCGTCTCGAGGCCCGCCCCGGCGTCCGCCATTGCCCCGGGGCCGGAGGTGCGATCGGCCCGGTTTAGGGGCTTGATGCTCCTAAGCCATAACCTGAAAACACTCTTTAGGGTTTAGGGTCTCGGGTTTCGGCTTAGCCAAATTGAAACAAAATTGAAGTTGGTACCCAGTACTTCCTTAAGTTGCAGCGATTTTGCTTTAAGAGCCTTAGAGAGCTTGGCGTCGCACCTAAACCCAACCCCAAACCCTAAACCCTAAACCCTGAACCCTAAACCCAAAACCCAAAACCCTAAACCCTCTTCTCACAGCACCCAGCTGTCGGCTTGAAGGCATATGGCTTGCAAGCTGCAATCTCAGCCGAGGCATCCTTCCCAACAGCCAGGGGACCCCGAAACCAAAAGCCCAAGGCTCTCTAACCCTAAACCCTAAACCCTAAACCCTAAACCCCTAAACCCCTAAACCCCTAAACCCTTAAACCCCCTTAAACACCCCTTAAAACCACCTCAAACCCTTGAAACCCTTAAAGCCCTTGAAGCCCTAAACTCCTAAACCCGGAACTCCGGCCCACAAAGGCTTCGAAAAAAATACCACTGCTTGGAGGTCCATGGGTACTTATAACCCCTAAACCCTAAACCCTAAACCCTGAACCCTAAACCCTAAACCCTAAACCATAACCCCAATTAGAAGTCTACTGATAACCTGCCCAGGGGACTAGGGGGCTTATAAGTGCAGTCCTCATTGGGCGTTAGAAGTGCCCATGAACCTCCAAGTGGACCACCTCTCCCTCTCCCTCATGTGAAGCGGTTCCCTCTCCCCAGCCCTTTAATAAGCCCTCATCCCGTGTTGAAGCTGCCATAAACCCTAAACGGCCCTAAAACCCTAAAACCCTAACACCCCAAAACCCCAAAACCCTAAAACCCCAAAACCCTAAAAACCCTAAAAACCCTAAAAACCCTAAAAACCCTAAAAACCCAAAACTCTAGGGTTTACCCTAAACCCTAAACCCTAAACCCTAAATCCGACATCCTAAACCCTAAAGCCCTACTTGGAGGTTCATGGTACTTACTAACCAATCATAACTGTACTTATAACCCTACTTATAATACCCCTAAAGGGCCGTATAGGGTTATCCCACTTATAAGTAGGGTTATAAGTACAGTTATATTTGGATAGTAAGTACCATGAACCTTCAAGTAAACCCTCTACACTTTCCAAGCGGGACAGAACTGCCACGGCTCTGCTCCACGGAGCTGGGCCGGGCGGGTGCCAGCGGAGGAGCCTGATGAAGAAACTTTGAGGGTTTGTGGAAAACGAATCTTGAGGGAAGGGTTTAGCGTTTAGGGTTTAGCGTTTAGGGTTTAGGGTTTAGGGTTAGGGTTTAGGGTTCAGGGTTTGTGGTTTAGGGTTTGGGTTCTTAGGGTTTGGGGCTGTAGGGTCTTAGGGTTCTGAGGTTTGGGGCTTATCAGTGTCCAGGCTCCTTTGTCCCAAACCCCTAAAACCCCATAAGCCCTAAGACCCTGAGACCCTGAAACCCTGAAACCCTAAAACCCTGAACCCTAAAACCCCCTAAAGCCCCTAAAACCCCAAGACCCCCCTAACCCTGAAACCCTGATTCAGCCTTCGGCCGGCCCGAACCTCGCCCGCCCCGTCCGCCGCCTGGAGCGTTCAAGTCATTCGGGTCACGGCGAAAATTGGAGCTCTGATTCCACCCTTTTTCGGGTTTAGGGTTTTGGTTTGAGGGTTAAGGGTACAGGGTTTAGGGTTTAGGGCTCTGATTCCACCGTTTATAGACAAAAAGAGCTGCAACCCTCCAAACCCTGAACCCTATCCCTGCACCTCCCTACTGGGCATCTCAGGAAGGTAAAGCTCAGGCTTCTGAGCCCGTCTAGACCCGGCAAAAGGAGGTTGGTGCCTGAGGTTTGCATGAAGGTTTGGGGACTCAAAGCCTAAAGCCCACTACAAACCGACCCGAAAGACCAAAAAGCCCGAAGGCCACCAAACCCTAAACCCTAAACCCGAAACCCTAAACCCTAGACCCTAAACCCTAAACCCTAAACCCTAAACCCTGAATCCTGAACCCTAAACCCTAAACCCTAAACCCTCAACCCTCAACCCTCAACCCTAAACCCCAAACCCTGAACACTCACGTGAAGGCCCTGCTGGAGTTTTGGAGGGCTTCCCAGCGAGGCCTTTGGCTTCCCTGATTGGGTATCCGACATCGTCTCCCTGGCAGGTCCAGTGTCAGCTTCACGTGTATCTACATCTATTATATATATATATATATATATATACATAAATTATACATATACTTATACATTTCAACATTATGTTGCGTATGTATAGTATATATGTGCATATGTGTATGCATAATCTTTGCTAAGGACCGTTTCCTCAGTTTTCTGCCTTTTTCCTGCGGTGGGGGGGGGGGGGGGGGGCGAGGGATCCGGGGCAACAGCGTCTTGAAGGCGGACATTTGTGCGACTTAAAACAAAGCGCTCAAACTCTGCGCTTCCATACGAGTGCACTCCTATCCTTATACCAAGATGGGACCCAAATTCTCCCCACCTTACTCCCTTCTGCCTCTCTATACCACAAGGGGAGCATGCCAGTTCATAAGCCTGCAGGGTTATAGGTTTCTTTGCGGCTAATCCCTAAACCCTAAACCCTAAACCCTAAACCCTAAACCCTAAACCCTACGGCTCAGAGTTCAGGGCATTCAGCCCAGCTCCCACCTGCGACGCGGAGGGCCGCGGCAGGAGGTGGGCCATGGCTCCCAGCCACAGGGTTTAGGGTTTAGGGTTTAGGGTTTAGGGTTTAGGGTTTAGGGTTCAAGATTGAGGGACTCGAGTTGAAGGTGTAGGCTTTATAGGGCTTAAGGTTTAGGGCGTAAGGCTTACGGTTGGAAAGTCGGGTTGCCAAAAGGGGAACTGTAGTTATAAGCTGATCATTACCCTAATCAGCATCGGCATGGCACGTAACAAAAGCTACCCATGAACCTAGACGAGGCTAAGGGGATTCCATACCCCAAAGTGGTGCCTTTGTCAGGGTCTCTCTTGCACAAGGGCTCTCCATAGGATAAAAAAGGTTCCACGGTTCAGGGTTTATGGACCGTCGGTACTAGGTTGCCACAAAACGCATACAAAGCTTGCATGCCTGGATCAGCTTGCTTGAGACGTAAAGCTAGGCATGGCAATGGATGGTCTTGTGGCAGAGTGTATTTCCAATATAAAATCATAAATAATAAATGTTATTTTTATCAGTATCATGTAAACTGTTATCTTTATTATATTTTACTATGATATCACTCATTGGTACTGAATGCCCAAAGAACAGAAAGTACCTAAGGTGACCGTGTTGACACTCTTGATCTTAGCCATCAAGGCTTACAGGTAGCTACCACGGAGGAATTTCGAAGTGAACCCCCTAAACGCCACCGAAACCTCCACCAACCACCAGGCCGTCTGATAAGCTCCCTGGACCCGGTGTAAGGTGAAAGTGGACATGGTGAATCCTGAGCACTCACACCCTAAACCCCAGACCCTAAACCCAAAACCCTAACCCCCCCCCCCACAACCCTCTCCCCAAGTTCGGGTTTCGGCTCAAGAAGGCTTAGGGTTGAGGGGAGTCCTATAAAACTTGCCGCAAGCCCGAACCAAAAACAGCCGAAACCCTAACCCCCAAACTGTAAACCTGCAAGACTCCTGCAAGTGTTGAGAGTTTAGGGCTTAGCGTTGAGGGCTTAGGGTACCTGCGTACTCCCAACCCGCAACCCAAAGATTAACGCGCTAATCCAGGCTCGCCTCCTGTTCCGGGATGGTTGCAAGGCGTCATGGGTCTTGTAGGGTAGGTTACAAGCGATGGGGCTTTGGTGCTTTACAAGGTTCAGGGTGGCCCTGAAGCACACAACAGCCCACACCCGTAGTGCCCCCAAACCCTAAACCCTAAACCCTAAACCCTAAACCCTAAACCCCAATAAGCCCTAATACCCCCAAACCCCTCATCTGCCAGGATGCCAGTGAGGGCTCTCTTGTTTTCATTCGCGGCACGCTCATGCTCGCCGGAAGCCCGTGTAGCTTGCAATGACCTTCGCATCAGACACCTGCCATGCGCCCAGCCACGCCTGCGCGACAGTTTCAGGGGTATCCGGATGTCATGGGTCCAGAACTGCGCACCGAACTACTCTTTTTTGGCACGGATTGCTGCCTGCCCTGCTTTGAAACCTCTCTTCAGCTGCTGCTGCTGCTACTACTACTACTACTACTACTACTACTACTACTACTACCACTACTACTACCACTACTACTACCACTACTACTACATACATGCCGGGCATGAGCTTCGTGCAGGGAAGTCTGCCTGTGGAGCAGGGTAGCCAGCATTCTGCCCTTTCGGGGCAGGGTACCTGGGCACAGTTGGCATCTTTGCCCCGAGCCTAGGGGTCGTCTTGTTTTTCCTGGTTGGTGGCTCTTGTTTTTTGGTTGTTGCTAAAGGCAAGAAAGGAAGGAAAGGCGACTTGGGTGATGAAGGAAGGAGGGACGGAAGAAAGAAGCAAAAGAAGAAGTGAAGAATCAATGTCAGCAAACGCGTCCACAGCGCATAGCAAATTACCTCATTTGTTTACCCTATACCCTAGAACATCAACACCCCCAGATCCAACCCCCCCCCCCCCCCCCCCCCCCCGCAAGCCCTAAACTCTCAAATGCTGAAGCCCTAAACCCCCCCAAGCCCTAAACCCTCAAACCCCAAAACCCTGGGATTTACGGTCTTCGATGGCCACCTTAACAGCCCTACTAGAATGTGGCCCTTAGGAGATTTGGCGCTTAAGGCCCAGGGATGTAGGGCTTCAACACCCCAACTTGTAACACCCTAAACCCTAAACCCTAAACCGTCAAACCCTAAACCAAGCTTTTCGGAGCTCAGCCCCCGCGCGGTCCCGGCAGAGTCTGCGGATGATAGCCTGGCCGGGTCGTCTGGAAGGTGGCAGGGCCTACAGGATGTTTACATTCTGACACCCCGTAGAATCAACCTTTTA